GTGAAGCTGTGTAGAAAACTCCATTGTGACAAGTTTTCTTGACACCAAGAGAAAAAAAAAAGTTGACAGGGAAGAGAGCTCCAGTACGGAGCCTGTGATTGACAGCCTCAGCTCTGCTCCTGTGTGAGGGGGGAAAGGGGGGATCCCTTCCCTCCAATCAGCTCTCAGAGCTCTCCTCACTGATGTAATTTTAACTCCCTGCCCCCTGCTTCTCAGAGCTGAGACATCCTGTGTAAATTGTGCACTTTGAATGGATGTGGGAAGAAGCAGAGTATCAAGTAATTTTTTTTTTTTTTTTTTGTTCCCCTGGACCTAAACATTCAATTAACCCTTGCAGTGCTGGCACAGCTGCATTGCAAGGGTCATTTAAAAAAAAAAAAATTATGGAAAATTGTATCAAACACAATTTTCCATTCCTGGCGCCATTCCATGGCAGCATACTACCACATGTTGGTTGGTGCCAGGAAATCGAATTTTAAGAAAGGGAAGGAACTGCAGCCGGGTGCACCCTTAGGGGAGATTTACTAAAACCGGTGCACAGAGAATCCGGTGAAGCCGTGCAGAAAACTTAAAAGCTGATTGGTTACTATATACAGCTGCTTACGATTCTGCGTGCACCAGTTTTGATAAGTCTATCTTCCCCATGGTCTCCCCCCAGGTCTGCTTTAAAGTGGAATTCCACCCAAAAAAAAAAAAAATCTCCCATTTATTTGTATGGACCAGATAATCACATTTTGTATTATTCTTTCTATCTATCTATATCTATCTATCCATTCAGTCGTATCCGACCCTTGGCGATTGCATGGACTGTCACTCGTAAGCGACTTTTTCCATGAATTCTCTTAGCAATTATTTTACAGGGTAGGTTGCCAGGTCTTTCCCCAACCCCTACCATGGGGGAGATCCCGCATGGCCAGGGATGTATTATTCTTTACTTACTTAATTATACAGCGGTGTATAATTCTGAAGCATCTGGTTATCCCGCCATTTCCTGCGGCTTGATTTCCTGCGGCTTGAGTGCATTTTCGTTTTTGGTCCGACAACGCCAAAGCGAAATAGTGAACGCTATTTCTTACTAGAGTGGTCGCCCCCCCATCCTTTTTCCGGGGCAGGTGATGCAAGCGGGTTGGAGGCTCTTTAAGAAGGAGGCACTAAAGAGCACACTTATTCTTGAAAAATCTCAGACAGCTCATGTGTGCACATTGCAGCTCCTCCTATCCTCAGGTCCAGTGGTCAGTTTTCCATCGGGAAGACATTACATTCGGCAGTAACTCAAGAGCCTCTTACACAGCCATGCGGCCGGGTCTGCAGGGCAATTGTGGTCACTTGACTGTGAAACAAAGTTATGAAAGTGTATTAACTGAGCAAGGAGTATTGTTTTAATAATTACAAGCAGGATAGAAATCAATTAACTGCAAGTGAACTGTTTGTGGAGCTATGACTTTACAACTACTTTAAAATGGTTGTAAACCTCAGACATGAAATACAAAAACAAAAGCATATCCCTCTATAGTGTGTACTTGTCTCAATCCAGAGCACTGAGTGTCATTTCTGTTTGCTGCCTTGTTCCGCTGCTATCAGGATGAATCCATTCTGACAAGTTTTCCTGACACCAAGAGAAAAAAAATGACAGGGAAGGGAGTTTCAGTACGCAGCCTGTGATTGACAGCCTCAGCTCTGTTCCTGTGCGAGAGGGGGGGGGTCCCTTCTCTCCAATCAGCTCTCAGAGATCACCTCACTGATGTAATTTCAACTCCCTGCCCCCTGCTTCTCAGAGCTGAGGCATCCTGTGTAAATTCTGCATTTTGAATGGATGTAGGGGAGAGACAGGTACAACTTATGTAGGAGGATTTGTTTCATCTCTGCGTATGACCTGAGGCCAGTCACTTCACTGAATATATGTAAGAGTTTACAAACACTTTAAGGCTGAATTCTGTGGAAAAAAAATTATTTTTTGTCCTTTGCTGTGTAAATAAATTACACCTATGGGTGTCTATCCTATGTTTGGCTGCTGGTCCATTCAGTAATACCGTTCCTTTCATTCAGCCCCCACAGCACACATGTCCGGCGCTGACTTTTAGCTCCGGCTGTAGTATCCGGACCATAGCAGGTTGCTCATTATATACCTCCTCCATTTAGAAAAAGCCTTTTATTCTCTTTATTGAGCACAAGGCTTTCTGTGGTAGGAGGAGGGGAAATTGGGACGTTCATCTGTCTCTCCTCCAATCACAGCAAGCCTTGCATTCAGTGAAAAGAATACAAGGTAACAAGGCTATCAACATTTAAGAACAGATCATTCCTCTAATATGCTATCCTCACCTTTTGGATTGTATTGCAGCCCCAGCAATCCCCATCAAGCAGGTCCAGTTTATTACCAGAGTGCGTTACAATATATATTTGAACTACTACAATTTTGGCCATATTCACTATATTTCAAGAAAAATATCTCTCTCTATATATAGGGAGAGAGAGAGAGAAAAACACACACACACACACACACACACACACACACACACACGAAACAGTGTTTTTATTACAAAATATATGAAAAACATTTTTAAAAAATACATTTCAAATATACTGTATGTCTTTAAAAATACAAATCTACATATTTTGAATGCATTTACAAATTTATGTAAAAATATGTTAAAATTACTTTTTTATATATGTTAACAAAAAATCTGTATATTTTAAAAAATGAATTCCAAAAATGCAGATCTGTATTTTTAAAAAAAAAACATACAGTATATTTGAAAATGTATTTTTAAAAAGATTTTGTAATTTAAAAAAAAAAACGCATATATATCTATCTATATATTGAAAAATATTAAATATGGCCAAAATTGTAGTATTTCAAATATATGGCAATATATTTGGGAAGAATATTTTTAATATATATTTCAAATATATTTTCCTTCCATATGGGTATGCAGTTTGTATATTTATACTGTGGCCACCACTGCACCTCATTATTTATCGCTACATTTGACGGCTCGGGACAATGGTTGATAAGATGTTATGGAAGTGAGCCAGAGTGCGACTATGCCAGCTATGGTCACGGTTTGACTAATGAACAGCCTACCGCATGGCTTTGCTTCAAAGCAAGGCTATCAGCATAAGGTTACCTTAATTATCCAGAAATGCCTCTTTTTTGCACCCCTCTGATCTTGGTTTCACTCGGTTATTAAAGTTTTGACTTCCACAACTGGGGCTAAGACAGACCTTCTGGAGCTGAGCTCCATACACCCACACCATTCCTGTCCACCTTGAGATTTACAGGACAATGGATAAGAGGTAGGCAAGGTTTTGCTCTGGGGGAAGAACCTAACCCCTTTATGATCAGGGATCAATGACACCTAGCTGCTTGGACCAAATTTAGCAACATCAGTTGACCTGGACTAAATTTATATACCAAAATAAAAAAAGGACATATAAAAGCTTTGATACATTGTTTCAACAAAACCCTGCTCTGTTTTTATTTAAATTATAAACTAAAAAATGTGCAAGAACAAAAAATATGTTCTCTCAACTTTTTAGTTTACATTTTTTTAATACTTTTTAAGACTTATCTATAACATGGTGATCCTATGCATGCTGGAGGCATCACTGACAAAATAAGTCTTAAATAAACCAATATTTGTAGCCTCTGTAGGTGACATTCTTCATCTGTTTGATACTATAATTGTCATAGACAATTACAGTATTGAGTGGTTTTTGATAATGTGATTACTATGTCATCTATAAAACATGGTAATTCTATGCATGCTGGAGGCATCACTGACAAAATAAGTATTAAATAAGCCAATACCGCTGTAGCTTCCTGTAGGTGGCAGTGTTCATCTGTTTAATACTACAATTGTCATAGACAATTACAGTATTGAGTAGTTTCTGATCATGTGATTGCTATAATTGTCTATGACAATTGTAGTATCAATCACATGATCAGAAACTACTCTAATACTGTAATTGTCTATGACAATTGTAGTATCAATCACATGATCAGAAACCACTCAATACTGTAATTGTCTATGACAATTGTAGTATTAAACAAATGAACACTGCCACCTACAGAGGCTACAGCGGTATTGGCTTATTTAAGACTTATTTAGTCAGTGATGCCTCCAGCATGCATAGAATCACCATGTTATAGATGACATAGTAATCACATGATCAGAAACCACTCTGGCAGGTAGTCAGGACATGAGCTGTCAAGGACAGCCAGGATTGAGACCTAGCAGCTGTGCAAAGATTTGGCTGCTAGCTCTGAAAGGGCAGGATGTTTCTTCCACGTGGGGAAACCATGATCAGGAATGCCAATATACAGGATTGTGTGAAAGTCGTGGAACTTGAGCCCTTTAATAATAAAGTGAAACCAGTATCAGAGAGGCACACAGGCAGTGGTACCTTCTCACAAAGGACATTTACATTTAGCAGTTTATAATTGACTTGTTTTCAAGTTCAATTGACCTTTAATAGTTAAAAAAAAAAATAAAAAAAAGTGGAGTAAAGAAGTGCACAATGTCCTTGGTAGTCCTTTTTTAAAATTTATTATTATTGTTCCTGTACCACCATGACAGCACTGACTTTAAGCGTCACTTCAACCAACGTACAATTTGGTAGCTCCTCACCAGCTATTTTTGTTTTGTTTTTTTTTGTTTTTTTTTTATTGTGATGGCTCAAGCAGCTTGAGGCAATATGCTACTGCAAAATGGCCGATTCCAGCAGCCTCATTTTGCTCACGTGTACCAAAAATGTTCAATGCCACGTCTGTCAATGTTAACTAATCGCTAAAAGCAGACAGGTCCTCTTTCTTAGAAAAAGATGATTAGGAAAACTTTGACAAAGTGCCACAGCGTGGCCATTCTTGAAAAGTCCGTAAGTTCACAGCGCACGAGTTCGGCAATAAATATAAAAAACATGTCTTCCGTCTCTTTTTTTTCCCTCAAATTAAAAAGGGTGTTTAAAGGCTCCAGGCCCCCGGACACCCTCTCACTACACGTTCAATGTATCTGCAAGTAATGCGGAATGCTGTAGTTGAAGAGTAGAAAGTCCATCTTGTACAAGTTGAAAAGACGGCGTTGGTAGAAGCGGTTGATGCCTTTGAAGAACTGTGCCGTCATACCATCGGTGGTCCGTGTGGTTTTGGAAGAAGATGGAAACTTTATGGAGTCACCTACACCAATGAGCTGAAGAAGATATCTAGCATCCTCCTCCAAAGTTTCGTACTTTCCTATCACGTCATACTGGACGATGCATGGGTGGCACAAGGAATGGACCCGTTCCCAGTGCTCATTAAATGGCTCCTCTCTTTGAGTTTGGGGGTCAACCAGGTAATAGAGGAACTCTTCAAAAGTGACATCATTCCCCCGCTCAAGTGCCTCAAGTGAAGGATCCCTACGATGGCGCTCTATGATCTTGGTGCCGTACCGCTTGTGAAAGGCCGTATTGTACGTCCGGGTAAACTTGTTCCTGTAGGCCGAAACCAGCCTCTCAAAAGGCTCCCTTACGAAGATGAACTTGAGGTAGTTCCGCAGGCGGTAATTGATCTCCGGTGTGCTGAACTCTGAGAGAGTGCGGAGGTTTGATGCAATGTGGGCCTCGTTGGCTGGAATGACAGCAGGGTCATTATATTTGCCTTGGCCGGTAAGGACCATCATGACCCTCTTCCAGTTGGTGCAGGCCACCTTAGGCACATAGCAATAGATCAACCCATGGGTGTCGTCCACAACCAGGTGTTTGAGGTCCTCAGCGGTCAAGACGCGGCGTTTCCTGGTGTATGTCTTGCAGGCGCTGGCCAGCAGCTCCCGACGCTTTTGGTGCGTAGCTTGGATCGACGAGGGTTCAAACTGGAATGAATAACAGGGAGAAAAAAAAAAAAAAAAGTTAAATATATAAATATATTTTATAGACTGTAAAAATCAATACGTATACATATACCACTCAATAATATACTAGCTTCAGGCTTGTGATAATGAGGTTTCTAAGCCTTTTAAATTGGCAGCTTTTATTAAAAAAATACCTGGTGATCCTGCCATGTTTGTGCAGCTGCGTCTGGTTAGAGAATGACAATGCGTTGTTCCCATTTACTTGTGCTCTTTATTTTCACTATCACACCAGCCCCAGATGGAGAATACAAGTAGCATCAACAGAGGGTCAGTCCAGAGCAGTGGTCTCCAAACTGCAGCCTTGGGGTTGGATGGGGCCCTTTGCCTGCCTTTACCCGGCCTTTGGGGCACTATTCCTCTCATTGATACAAGGCGTTATTCTTCCTACCAACACCAACCACTGGGCACCATTCCTTCCACTGACACCAACGATGGGGCACTATTCCTCCCACTGACACCAACGATGGGGCACCATTCCTTCCACTGACACCAACGATGGGGCACTATTCCTCCCACTGACACCAACGACGGGGCACTATTCCTCCCACTGACGCCAACGACGGGGCACTATTCCTCCCACTGATGCCAATGATGGGCACTATTCCTCCCACTGATGCCAATGATGGGGGCACTATTCCTCCCACTGATGCCAATGATGGGCACTATTCCTCCCACTGATGCCAATGATGGGCACTATTCCTCCCACTGACAGGGCACTATTCCTCCCACTGACACCAATGACGGGGCACTATTCCTCCCACTGACACAAACGACAGGGCACTATTCCTCCCACTGACACCAACGACGGGGCACTATTCCTCCCACTGACACCAACGACGGGGCACTATTCCTCCCACTGACACCAACGATGGGGCACTATTCCCTCCAATCCCACTGATACCATTGATGGGGCACTATTCCTCCCACTGACACCAATGACGGGGCACTATTCCTCCCACTGACACCAATGACGGGGCACTATTCCTCCCACTGACACCAATGATGGGGCACTATTCCTCCCACTGATCCCAATGATGGGGCACTATCCCTCCCAATAACACCAAAGATGCCACACTGTTCCTCCCACTGACACCAATGATGGGGCACAATCCCCCCCCCCCCATTGACACCAATGATGGGGCACTATTCCTCCCACACTGACACCAATGATGGGGCACTATTCCTCCCACTGACACCAATGATGGGGCACTATTCCTCCCACTGACACCAATGATGGGGCACTATTCCTCCCACTGACACCAATGATGGGGCACTATTCCTCCCACTGACACCAATGATGGGGCACTATTCCTCCCACTGATACCCATGATGGGGCACTATCCCTCCATGATGGATGGGGCACTATTCCTCCCACTGACACCAATGATGGGGCACTATTCCTCCCACTGACCATGGGGCACTATCCAATGATACCAAATGATGGGGCACTATTCCTCCCACTGATACCAATGATGGGGCACTATTCCTCCCACTGATACCATGGGGCCTATCCCTCCCACTGATGATGGGGCACTATTCCTCCCACTGACACCAATGATGGGGCACTATTCCTCCCACTGATACCAATGATGGGGCACTATTCCTCCCACTGATACCAATGATGGGGCACTATTCCTCTCACGGATACCAATGATGGGGCACATTCCTCTCACTGATACCATGATGGGGCACTATTCCTCCCACTGATACCCATGATGGGGCCCTATTCCTCCCACTGATACCCATGATGGGGCCCTATTCCTCATCCTTCTGACCACAGGAACTAGGATTTTTTCTTTTTGTTCTACTTCCACCGACCACCAAGCCTGAGGCATTTTCTACTCCCACTGGCCGTAGTCCAGCCCTAATAAAGTCTGAAGGATAGTAAACTGGCCCCTTTTTTTGTGAACCTCTGGTGAGCAATCATGTGCAGCAGATGGGAAGGTTTGAGAAAATAAGAGTTTAACACCAATTTAATTTTAAAGTGGTTGTAAACCCTTCCATACACCCAATGAAGTGACTGGTCTCATGTGATACACAGAAATGAAACAAATCCTCCTACATAAGTTGTACCTGTTTATCTACAGTCTTATCAGTACACATTCCTGAATTTATAAAGCTTGTCTGGCTGTCAAAAAAAAAGGGGGGAGGAGAGCTGAAATTACACTCTGTGGAGAGCTCAGTGAGGAAAGCTCCGAGAACTGATTAGAGGGAAGGGAAGGGAAGGGAAGGGGAAGGGAAGGGAAGGGAAGGGACACCCCCCCCCCCCCCCCCAACAAATTGAGGTTGTCAATCAGCTGGAGGTCCTTCCCCTGGTGTCAGGAAAACTTGTCAGAAGTGACTCATGCTGATAGCAGAGGAATGAAGCCAAAGACAGAAATGACACTTTTTGCTCTGGATAGGACACACTATGGAGGGATATGCTTTGTTCATATTTCATGTCTGGGGCTTACAACCACTTGGGCTTGCAAAAAAAAGGAAAAAAAAAAAAAAAAAAATAAAAAAAAAAAAGCACTGGGGGAAGGGAAGTCACCAGGGGAAGGGTGCATGGTAGCCAATCAGCTTCTAACTTCAGCTTGTTCAGTTAAGCTTCACCAATAAAACCTGGAAGCTGATTGGTTTCTATGCAGATAAAACCTGGAAGCTGATTGGTTTCTATGCAGAGCTGCACCAGATTCTGAGTGCTCCAATTTTAGTAAATCGCCACTATTGAGGATTTACCCAACATATACACAGAGGCCGCCTCCAAAGCCTGTTGGGAACCAAAAGTATCTTTATTGTTCCCCAGTTTGTGATAAAAAAAAAAAAAAAAAAAAAAAAACCACAAAAAAAAACACACCCTACATAAAAAAGGCGCATAGCGATTTTCTCACTAAATAAAAAAGTGACCCAAGGAGATGTCACCTACCTGTTCGCCGTCATATAAAGCCTGCAGAGGACTTCTCCTGGGCTTCCCTTTCCAGATGGCGGCAGTGACGTGTTCCTCAGCTTAAAGATATGAAAATAGATCAAACAGCACATTAAAAGCAAGACCATGAAACTCATTTGAAAGCATCAGTTTGGGACATTATTGCAACTCAATACATGTTATACAGATCATATTTTTTATTGAATGCATTTCCCTAGAAAACCACTAGCAGGCGCCGCCATCTAAATGGCAGATAGCACAGTCAGCATCAATTATTTTTTGTGTGTGCCATTCTCAGATACTTGACCTCCAGGCTTTTTTTTTCTGACACTTTTGTTTACATGTAAAAATCAGTATTTCTTTGATAGAAAATTAGTTAGAATGCCCACACGTTATATTTTTTTTTTTTTAAAGCAGAGGCCTCAGAGAATAAAAAATGGGGGTTTTGCAATTTTTTATGTCGCACGGTAGTTTTTCAATTGCAGTTTTTTGGGAAAAATACACTTTTTTTGAATGTTCATGCAAGAAACACATATACATAACCCAATTGTTTGGTATCTTTTTACTCAGCGTAACATTTATCTTTTATATTTTCCAAACATGTCACGTCTTAAAATTGCACACGCTCGTGGAATGGCAACAATGTAAACTTTACTATCAATAGGCGATGATTTAAAAGCATTTACAGGTTACCACTTTAGATTTACAGGAAGGGTCTGGTGCTAGAATTACTGCCCATGATCCGACGTTCTCAGTGATACCTCACATATGTGGGAAGATCGCTGTTTTGCGTGCCTGCGGGATCGACTTTCACAATCGCCTTTGTACGCGAGCACTGGGGGTGACGGAACTTTATTTTTTATTATTAATTAAAAAAAAAAAAAAAAAAAAAAAAAAAAAATATATATATATACTTTTTGTGATACGGCACTGCGTTACTTTATCTGACAACTGCGTGGTCATTCAACGCTGCACCCAAATGTCATGCACGAACTTTTTTTCCCCATAAACTGAGCTTTCTTTTGGTGGTATTTGATCGCCTGTGCGCATTTTATTTTTTGTTCTATAAACAAAACAAGATCGACAATTGTGGAAAAAAAAAACTATTTTTTTTTACTTTTTTTTGCTATAAAACATGTCCAGTAAAAATTTTTTTAAAAAATCTAAAATTTCTATATAAATTTAGGCCAGAATGTATTCTGCTCCGTGTCTTTGCTGAAAAAATCCCAATACGTGTAAATTTATTGGTTTACGTGAAAGTTATAGTGTTTACAAATGGCGGTGTATATACTGGAGCTTGTATTTAATTTTTTATACTAGTAATAGCGGCGATCAGTGACTCATAGTGGGATTGAAGACTGCTGTGGGCATTCTGACACTGGGGGAGGGGGGGAGAACTAGCGGTCACTGACATCCGCAGTGACACCAAAACAGTGATCAGTGCTAATAAGTGGCTAAATGGTTAGCACTTCCGCCTGGCAGTACTAGAGTCGTTGGTTTGAATCCCAACCACGGCACCACCTGGCTGGAGTTTGCATGTTCTCCCTCTGCCTGCGTGGGTTTCCTCTGGGTACTCCGGTTTCCTGCCACACTCCAAAGACATGCTGGGAGCTCAATTAGATTCTGTCTAAATTATCCCTAGCATGTGTATGTATGAATGTGGGTTAGGGACATTAGATTGTACGCCCCTTGAGGGTTAGGGACTGATGTGAATGTACAATATATATGTAAAGCACTGCGTAAATTGACAGTGCTGTAGAAGTACCTGAAATAAATAAAAAGCACTGACACTGGACAGGAAGGGGTTAACATGTGGGGCAATCAAAGGGTTAACTGTGTGTGTTTTATTGTGTGCTGTGATTTATTGTGGAAGCAATGCAAAGCCATACAAAGCAGCGTGCTGGAGCTAACAGGGGAGAGATCTGTATTGTTCACATACAGACCTCTCCCCCATCAGTGATACTCTTTAATTGCCGGGTGATGGTGGGGAATCACCAGCCAGGACCCGGTGACCAACAGCTGAAGCCGCCAATGGCACGCACCCACCCCCCCTTACAGGAAATAGAAACACACACACACACACGTTTGCACAGCCCTGCCGCCCTGTAGCATTAGTTCTGCTATAGTGTGGTCAGGAAGCAGTTAATGAGCACTACCCCCTCAGGAGTTGCAACAGAACTGGGTCCCCCTATAGTCCTGCAGAGCTGCACAGCCAGGCATCACACATTTTCCGTTCAGACTTGCATCAGGAGACAGAAAACCAGTCTTTGAGCTTTGTTTTGAAGTTTTATTAGGGATGTAGAACTTGGATGGGGTAAGGGGTGTATGGGATGCCCAAGGGAATGGCAACTGAGGACAAACATCCTGAACCATATTACAAGTCTCATAGTCAGAACTTCTCTTCTAGGAGAGCTCTCCAGCCTCTCATGGTGTACTACCCCAGACCCCTGATGAATCCTCTTCGTTATCCAGCTGGCAGGAAGACTCCATGGGCAAGGGAGCCCAAAGCTGCCACTTAAAATATAACTGTCCTGGGTGTAGCACTAGTCAGGTTCCCCACCCAAATGCTCTCTCCCTTTTCTACACCCCAGGGGGTGTAGGAGTACTCACTGAGGCGTTCTCCCGTGCTGTTGTTGGATTGGTGGTTGCTACCAGGCCTATCAGCTGAGCCACCTCCTTCCCTGCCACCAGATGGTCCTCTCACGGGTGGCCAGTGAAGTCCACAGCTTCCTTCTCTTCAAGGTCCCTCTGCCTGGAGGGGAGCCCCTTCCAGCCTGGGCTTCATCTCAGGCTCCTACATCTTAGCCTCACTTCTCCATCTTCCACTCACACTTCTCCTCCAACCCTCCTGCTACTAAGCAGGTTCCGTTATTAAGAGTGTCCCAGCCCCTTGCCAAGCCTTCTGTTGGAGATTGGCTGGGGTCCTTCAAGCGTGCAGCCAGCCACTCCTCAGATCCACCCACTGCCTCTAGAGCCTTCCTCCAAAGCTCTAGATAAGGGGGAAATTCCAGAGGGGCTTGCCTGCAGAGCCTTTCAGCCCTGACCATAATTTGGCTATTACACCTAGGCTGCTACTCAGCACCTATCTAACCAATGGAGTCTAGCTCCCCCAAACGACCTAGGAGGGCGCTACATTAAATTGCATTTAGTGTCTGTGTATAAATAGTCAATGAGTTTGTTAGCTCCCATGTGGATGGACTGAGCAGGCAAGATAACTGAGCCATGGGGAGCATTAAATAACTGTCTAAAGACCAGCATAAAAAGGTAATGGAACTTCATAAAAATAGAAAAGGATATCTAAAGCCTTGAAAATGCCAGTCAGTATTGTTCAATCACTTATTAGGTGGAAAATTCAGGAATTTCTTGATACCAAGCCAAGGTCAGGTAGACCAAGAAAGATTGCAGCCACAACTGCCAGAAGAATTGTTTGGAAAACATAGGTAAAACAGGTAACCTCAGGAGAAACATAGACAGCTCTGAAAAAAAAAAAAAAAAAAAAAAAAAAAAGTTTTTTTTTTTCCCAAAGAGCACAAAACAAAAAAATACCTGAACAAAAATGAGCTGCATGGTAGAGTTGCCAGAAAGAAGCCTTTACTGCCGCAATGCCACAAAAAGCCCGATTACAAGATGACCGACAACACTTCGACACACCTCGCAGCTTCTGGCACACTGTAATATGGCGTGACCAGACCAAAATAGAGCTTTATGGTTACAGCAAAAAGCAGGGCCGTGGATAAGGGGGTACCACCAGTCCTCCTGTATGGGGCCCAGGTCAGCAGAGGGGCCCAGGCAGCTGGGTGAATCAGATATGTGCAAGGAGAGTAAATCAGCATGGCTGGGGGCTATTACTGGAACCGATCCCCTGTACGGCTCTCTCTGCAGCAGCTGAAAGCTGGCTTCTTCTCCTCTCCCTCCCGGCTTTCAGCTGCTGCAGAGAGAGCCATACAGGGGATCGGTTCCAGTAATTGCCCCACCCTGGTGCACCCACCACCCTCCCTGTACACCATACAGTTCCCATACTGCTGACCCCACCCCTGTAATGTTGCCGGCTTCCCTCCTCTCATTCCCATCAGCTGCATACAAATCGGATTATTCAGGATGGAGAGTGGAGGAAAGGTCTGGTAAATATGTCACATTTACCAGCCCCCTTCCTTTCCCGAATGAACACAATGAGTGATTGGCACCAATGAATCACTGTGTTCATTCATAATTAAAGCATAGTAAACAGTTTCTTTGTGGGAATGGGGGGTGGGGGGGGGGAGGGGAGGGGGGGCTTGTCAGGTTGGCTGTACGGGGCCCCGTGGTTTCTAACAGCAGCCCCTGGCCATAAGCGGTGTTTGGAGATGAATCAATAAGGCCTAAAGCTTCAAGAATACAATCCTAACTGTGAAGCATGGTGGTGACTCACTGATGTTTTGGGGGTGTGTGAGCTCTAAAGGCATGGGGAATCTTGTGAAAATTGATAGCAAGATGAATGCAGCGTGTTATCAGAAAAAAACTGGCAGACAATTTGCATTCTTCTGCACGAAAGCTGCGCATCAGACGCTCTTGGACTTTCCAACACGGCAATGACCCTAAGTTAGGGGTGGGCAACTGTGCCCTCCAGCTGTTGTAGAACTACAAGTCCCATGAGGCATTGCAAAACTGAATTACAAGCATGACTCCCAAAGGCAGAGGCATGATGGGACTTGTAGTTCACCAACAGCTGGAGGGCCACAGTTGCCCACCCCTGCCCTAAGTACAAGGCCATGTTGACCCTCCAGTGGTTACAGAAGAAAAAGGTGAAGGTTATGGAGTGGCCATCACAGTCTCCTGAGCCTAATATTACCGAGCCACTCTGGGGAGATCTCAAACATGCCGTTCATGGAAGACGACCAAAGACCTTCCATATCCTGGAGGCATTTTGCCAAGATGGATGGGCAGCTCTACCACCTTCCAAGAATTCGGGACCTCATAGACAACTATTACAGAAGACTGATCGCTGTCATTGATGCCAAAGGGGGGGGCGACACACAGGATTAGGAACTAAGGGCATGCAGACTTGTGAATGGGGC